GCTCAAGTGCAGGAACTTGCGACTTACACAGAAGCTGAGACATCCTCCAAAGGCAAAGCATTCGCGGTGACGGTTGATCTCGCCCGAATTCTCAGTGAGATTGGGCGAAAATCGGTCATTGTCAGCAGAAAAGAAGACGGTGTCACGGGACCTGCGCTGCAGGCTGTCATTACCGAGAAGGTTCAGACTACCGGAGAGGCACAGCTGCTCCTCACGAGATGGGGCGAATCCGTTCCCGACGAACTTCGGTACGTGCCGGACCACCCGAAACACTTCTGCATTGCATTGAACTTGAAGTTAATTGTCTGTTATAGACCAACATCAGATATTCTCATCGGCTCCAGGATATGTCCGTTTGCTTCTTTTATCTCGATGCATTACAACAACGCGTAGGTTTTCCTTATCCGGGAGTGATCTCAAAAAGAGAGGCTGATATCATGAGAATGTTACATAGTATGACTGACTCATGCCACTTCAGTCTAGTCATTCTGTCAAGGAATAGTCTCCTCATTAGCGAAGAAGCCATATCCAGCGGCGCCAACATCATTGCCAAAGGCAAGCCGTGGGACTATATGGTTCGAAACGGACCCTCGATCGCTGCCAACGCTTCGCGAAAGATGCTCCGCATACTCGTAGAGACTCTCGATTCCAAGTCAAACTCTGTGTATCCGAGTTTGCTTGTCGCTCTCCATGCTCTCGTCACACTATCAGTTCATGTGGTTACACATCCCGACTCCCGCATCTCCGCAATGGACTTCCATGTAAGTGATACCCATGTGCTAGCTTTCACCACTGACACCCTACACAGTTGATCCAAACTGCGGCGGACACAATGAAGGAGGCCTACTCTCGCCTCCGGGGCGACGCCCTCTTCAATGGCCTCTTGCACAAAATTGACACGATTCTGCAGCAGTCAACCCCTGCCACGACACGGCTAGCTGCACAACCCATCCCACCAGCAGTTCCAGCAGCATCAGCACAAGGGGGCCAAGATAATCCATGGGCAGCCCAAGGCGACGGCACAAGCCAGACCCCAAATACTTGGGCGGACAACAATAACCAAATGAAAGAGACGGGACCTACTCCCGACATGTCGGCAGCACCGATATTCAACCAGAACTACATCATCCCTGGCACTAACGACTTTGGATATGATCTCATGGGTGGCATTCCCATGCCAGGTGATGAGTGGTCGCCGAGCATGTCAGATGGAGTTGGATGGGATTGGTCGTGCTTCTCACAGCTGCTAGCTGATCAGTTTCAACCGCAATGAGTGACACGATAACGAGGACAATTTCATGTCCGCCATCATATCAATAATCCGGCTCGCACTTACTGCATGCATCAGTACTTCAGAGGCTAGATACCGACGAGCTTTGAGAGGGTGGTACAGCGCACGAGCCACCGATATGACTTCACTCACCTCTGACACCTCCAGCCATCACGCATCAAGACTCAAGGCGACAAAAAATCAAAAAAGAAATCGACGTGGGCCCGATTCGAACGGACGCTCCCGAAAGAACAAGATTTCGAGTCTTGCGCATTAGACCACTCTGCCACCACGCCCCTTGATTGATGCTGGTGTGGGTCCACAACCGACCCTAGAATCGCCTGGCGGGGAGGTGCCGGAGAGGTAGCAGGCAAGGTGGCCGAAGTGGAAGGAACACTGCACTTGTGCTTTCTGTCACAGCACCAGACGACGAGGACTTCTCCGTTGTCTAGTTGAAGGAGGTGGGCTGCAAAAACTCTGCGCATGCTTTTTGTCCAGGGCCACCTGAGCACCCAGAGGCTGAAGAACGAAGAGCGCCCAGGTTTAGACATAGTAGTTATGCCTTGCAGCGGGAAGAGCAGACATATGTCCTATTGCCCAATCTGTTGCCAACGACTTCAAAGATTCTCCTCACTCAAGCGACGTATGAACGCAAAGTCCCTCCGCAAAAAAGAAGAAAAGCCAAGACAAACCCACCGATTGCAAAGCCTCCCTGTATGTCGTCTTTCATAAGAGTGTATACCACTGAAATTACCAGGCACAACATGAAGCCTATGCATCCAAAAGCAAGGACGTACATCCCATTCAACGTTTCTTCAAACTGCACAGCCCATCCAATTGAACTGCCCTTCTTTGGACACGGGCGAAGCCGTTCTTTCATCTTCCTTGGAACTCTTCGGAGCAGAACAGGGAAGATATCAGTGTGGTTGGGGTTTTCGAAGAGATGCATCATAAGATTGGGTCCAATAGGAGGCTCTGTATCAGATTGCTCATATTCGAAGTCGCTGCCAACAGGCGAGAACGCAGAGTCGTAGACGTTGGCCAGTTCGTTGCGGAATAATTCGAACTAATCACGTTAGTATACGGACTGACTCTGATTCTCGTAAATAAGACTTCATACCTTGACAAGATCAATGGCTTTCACACTTCTCAGCCAATTCCAGCGACCTTGCGTACGATAGGTGTCATAGGATGCGCGTAGAAAGTTGAAGAATTGCTGATCTGACTCAATCGCGCATACGCCAGGCTGATGGGCTTTTGTACCCCATCTCATGTAGGGAATGCAAAGGAGGACGAATTTGTGAGTTGGAGTATCCGCCTGCTGCGGTTGAGAGCGCAATGATTGACAACTCTCGGCGGTCATACTTTTGTTTTGCTGGTCTGGTCGATGTCGAGGCAGCGCTTGTGGGATTCCACCACGTACCCAGTTCCAGAAGCTGGTAGAAGATGTCCAATGCGTTTCGATTGAGTCTGTTCTTCGTCTTCTGCTTCAATCAAAGGTAGCGCTCCTTCTTTCCATCTTCTAGATGAATATGCATCGAGGAGCATCTTCAACTTCTCGATTGCTCCATCCTGCCTTCCGACGTACCTGTCTCGAAGTCGTCTACCACAGGAGGGCTTCCATGTAAGAGAATACTTGGTATACATAACAATATAGACGTGAAGAAAACTTACGCAAGTCCATTCCATTATGTGAGCTTTTGGCGTACCCCCCGTTTCGCTGGTTCCGCATACCGTTGTCAGCTTTGCTGAGAAACGATCCAAGACATTTCGGATTCTAGCCTGATAAATTGTTAATGCTGATTTTGGGAACGAAGAGCTCTCGTCAGTGACGGTATCCCTGAGTCTTCTGTTAAGTTCTTCAATAGCCTGCCCGTGAGCCAGAAAAACCTGTCGATCGAGAAGCTCTTGAGATCCCTCGAGCCTTGCAGAAGGCATCAACGATGCTTCACCCTCACTCTCGGCGTTGCGTTCAATAGCTTCTATAAGTCTGGCGCTGACATTGCTCTCGACGAGCTTCAGAGTGATGACCAGAGTACGTTGCGTCTTTGTGTTTGCGAGTGATTCCAGATAGCTGAAATGCAACGACACGTGTCGTCTCACTATCTTCATGGCCTCCTCAAAGGACAAAGCCTGGCTTACGATCATCCGCCAAAGTAGCTTGAGATCGCCCTCGATGAGAGAAATTACTGCCAGGCCAACCAAGTCTGCACGCACAAAGATGCCGTCGTTAGCTATCACGCTCTGAGAGATGGTGGTAGATGCCATGTAAGCTTTTTAATATACCTTTTCTCGGAGACTTCGAGGGAAGATTGGTCTTCAAAGTTGGTTTGGTAATGTCTTCGTGAGATAATGAACGACCAGAATGAATGCTGTGGCTTGGTTCAACTGGATATTGCTGGCGGGCCCCTCCCGAGATTCCATGGTCAGCGGCCGGACTGGGTTCCTCGTATCCTTCGTCAAGTTCATCGGCTCGCTCTTCCTCCAGACCCTTCTGCTGCGAGGGTATGTCTTGCGATTGCCTGGAAGCTGGCAACTCCTCAGAAACACGGTGTGAACTTGCTGCTTCGAGTCGGGGGCTACGCGCTATGCCAGAGTCTGGATAGGATTCAGCAATCGACGCGGCGGTCTGTCCAGCTCTTTTTACCAGTGACGGGGAAGTGTGGTTCAGGCATGTATACCCAACAAGAATCGTTCTCTTCTGGACGAAATGACCAGGTCTGCCATAGCTCGCGCATTTGTCAATATCGTGCTCGTAGTAAAGGCACCTGCAAGCGCTGTACAGCTCGATGATCCGATAACACATGGTGATTGCTAATGGCCAAGAAGATGGGATTAAGTAGCGCCGCAATGGCGTTATGTCGCAAAGGGGGTTCAAATCAAGACTCGCTGATGCTGGTTGTAACTGGATGGAGGGATACTAGTGGGAACAGGACCTTCAACCCTGCGTTCACTTCATGACAATGTCTAGCCTTGCGTCGGATTTCGGACACGCAGTGCACACATGATTCGTTGATTTTTACTCGGTCTCCGTCTCGTTCTCACCACTCAGCGTTGGCTGCACTTATCGATAGCTGTGGGTGGGTGCATCACTGGCGGCTGGACTGCTAAAGCGTCGGAAGGGATAATCAAGTTCATAGCTGTGTAGTGCGAACATCACTTAAAGAAATTCACGACATTTATCCTGTGGCTTATCGCAGCACAGCTGAAAGCCTTCGTTACTCCCAGAGGTTTCTGCTGTCGATTACATCTTCAAAAATAAGGCGGCTGACGCCAGCTACTGCAGCCCCAGGGGCCTAGGAAGTACAGGCAGCATTTTACCAAACTGTACTCCGGCATTTACGACTTGCCGATTGCGATTCTGTGCCGCAGGTCAAACCCCGTGCCTCTGATTATGGTAGTGGATTGGACCGGTCAGCGGGTCTAATTTCAGCATGCATGTAGGATTAGGCTGCAGTCTTCGCCAGAATTGGCGACTTAGTTGCGACGTACACTAGGCTGCACTCAAACAGACAGGGAAAGATGTGGGACAAGTTCTCAGCTCTTACAAAAGATCCATTGCTCATGCCGAGGTTTCCCTTCATGAGGTCTTAAATATCGGAGTCCAGGTGCAATTCAGCTTCCCCAGTACCCATGCTCCCTGTTTTCCATCACCAACCAAGAACACGGAATGAGGAACCATCAGCAGCCGAATTTGCCCCAGAGCAGAACAGCCAAGGGAGGTTTATCGATGGATAAGATATGGGCTGAAGCCGCTGCATCATTTGAAAGCATCTGTGGAGAGTCATTGAAGCGAGGTGAAGTCAAGAGTTTTGAGGACGTTCAGAGAAGAATTGAGAAAACTTGCGAGAGGGCTTCAGGTTCCGAGTCAAAGCCAGAAGACAAGTGGGACACTGCGAAAACGGTCGGACTCAAGTCGTTGCAATATTTGAAGTTGCTCGTTGGAGCTGCGGCCCAAGCTTCATCTCTGGTGCGTTTTGAAATGCATCACCTGTTCAACATTGACTAACTGGCAAATTCCGTAGATCCCCATCCCTCCTGTGGCAGCAAGCATCACTACAACAGCGCTTTCCTTCGTATTTGACATCCCTCAAACCATCAAGGGCTACAACAACGCCATTGATAGCGTCTTCAGCGAAGTTTCTTCAGCACTATCTCAATTTCAGATTTACCGATCTGTGGAAAATCTCGATCCGTTGCTGATTGAACAAATCCACCTAGTTTTGGTTAGTTTCGTCAAGATCTGCGCTTATGTCGTCAAGTATCGTCAGAATCGCAAACGCGACCGCTTCTGGGAGCAGACCAAGTTCATCTTTGGTGAGAACTCGGCTTTGAAAGACGAGATGACCGAGTTCAAGGGGCTTCTCCAGGGTCAACGCGACGTTGAAGGCACCGTGACGCTTGCTGTGGTTGCAGAAACGAGAAAGGACATGGCCGTTGCACTCGAGAAGATTGTCGTTTTCGGAAAGATCGCCGAGGAAACGCATCAGACGGTGCAAGAGACGCAGAGGGGCGTGCAGTCTCTGAATGACGACTCAGATCGCACCAAGACTCTGACCAAGATTCGCGATATTCTAGGTGTGCCATTGACGGTTCACCTTGACACGACAACCACGCAGACATGCGTCGACCTCGCAAACAAGTGTCTCGACAACACCGGTTCATGGATCTGGAAACACAATGCATACCTCTCCTGGACTGCGGGTAAAGAGAGAGACGTGCTTATCGTCTCTGGTCCTCCATCCTCTGGCAAGACGTCAGCTTGCGCTCTAATCACCAAGCGTCTGGAGGAGCAAAAGGACCGCACCTACGTCGCGCATTACTTCTTTCCACCGAGTGCCAGGAAGTCGGATGACAACAAGAACTCCGTGCAGTCTGCTTTGAAGTACATGGCTTTTCAAATTGCTCGGGTCGATGCCACGGTACTGAAGACGTTGGACAAAGCCTGCGACACAAAGCCGGCAGTCTTTCGCTCCTCGACAAGCTCGGATCTGGTTGATCTGTGGAAGGAACTCAACATTGGGGCGGCTGGTTCGGGAGCCACATACTATTTTGTGTTTGACGGCGTTGAGAACCTACCTGACGCACAAGCTGGGATGCTGCTGGACTTTGCTTCCGACTTTCAGCTGGAGCAAGAGTTAGCTGGGCGAGTGCGTCTCCTGATCAGCGGCACGAAAAGCTTGTTTGACAAGAACGCGAATGTCAGCGGAGCGCTTCGAATTGACATGGAAAAGCACAATCAGGACGACATGCGCATCCTCATTCAGGATACGCTCAACAAAAATGGAATGCTGCAAAGCACGAAGCCGAACTCGGAACAGGAAAGGGCAAAGGCAAAGATTCTCGAGAAGATACCTCCGAAGGTTGACGGAAAGTACTCACTCTTGCGCTTTGAGTTGGACAGGTTGATGCGACAACTGAGCAAGCGGACTGCAATTCAGGAGCTCGACGAAATGCTTGATCAGACAATGAGCAGCTTGGAAGCCGCTATCAAAGACCTGGAGCGCTCCTTGACCGCAGATGAGATTTCAGAGCTCAACGAGTTGCTGAAATGGGTCATGTACAGCCATGATTACATGTCTTTAGCACAGCTTGAGGCCGCCATGGTAAGTTTGTTCGTGTACGAAGTAAGACGCATCGACTTATGCGAATCATAGGTTTTGACATCCGAGATCGCTTCACTGACGTCCCTTGAGTACGTCATTCGGACCAAATACTCGGCTATACTGAGCATTGAAGATGAATATTACGTTTATCTCCAGGACGGAGTGGAGGAATATTTGCAGAAGGTTGACACCTCTTCCGGACAATCGCAGCAGTCAACGGGAGGATCGACCATCAGTATGACCATTTCCATCAACAATGTCGACCAAGAGCTTTGTGGAAATTTCCTGTGGGACCTTGCGGACATGGCAATTCGAAACAAGTTCAAGTTCGACTTCGACGGCGAAGCTTTCAATCCAGCCCATATCAGCAAGAGGCCTCTTGCCGTTGACGAGCTCGAAGCAAACTACACCATTGTCACTCAGGCTTTCAAGTACTTGAGCAACGAGCCTACGGATGGGACACAGAATGTTGGCCGTTATGTTGTTGAATTCTTACCGTACCACCTGAATCGCGTTCGCGAGCTCGAAGATGAGGACAAGGGAATGCTAAGAGATGATCAGCGTTCAGAAATTGGCCAGGGTCTGTATAAAATCTTCAGAGACGACACAGTCTTTCAACGCCACATCAAAATCTGGCAGGATATTGAGTGGTCTGTGGACGAGATGAGAGCCATACAAACGTGGCTTATGGACTCCGCAGCGGTGCGAAAGGTGGATAGGAAATGGCGTACGGCTGTCCAGAGGGCTTCCAGTCCTATTACGGGCTATTTGAATGAACTGGTCAAGACGGTGTTGCGGGGCCTCTTGAGACAGAGGAGCTGGCAAATGCACAACGCTTCAAAATGGCTGAAACGCTTTATGGAACTGGTAAGTAATCCGCAACTAGCCAATCTCCATTCAGATCTGTGTATTGACGTAAGTCAGGACCAAGTTCAACCCGCGCCGTCCCCAATATCTCCAGACGATTCAAACGAGGAGAAATACGAAGTAGACTCATACATTGCTTCTCTTGAGGTTAATCTTGACTGGGAAACCACAAATAAATGGTGTCAAGATGTACTGGGTCTACCAGACACTGATCTGGACTCTCTGTGGTATGAGGGTCTGGCCAAGGCCGCATCGGCAAAGACTGACTATGAGGCGGCAATTTCGCTATACAAGCGAGCTATCGAATGCGATAATCCGAGCTGGCTGTGCTACCGTGAGCTTGGGGTGGTATATGACTGCCTAGACTTGCAAGCGGACGCCATCACACAGCTTGAGATTGCTCTAGACAGAGCAGCGCAGGACAACGCTCACCCCGAGGGAAACAACGCGGAAATTGTCACAATGCATATCATGCTGGCGGGAATTGCTGCCAAGATAGACAATGTGCGTCAAGCGGCGGACCACTATTCAATCGCTTGTGAAAGTGAGGAAACATCACAAGTCATATGTGGCCAAATAGGTCTTCTCCAGGCGACCTTGAGTCTCTCTGGCCCTGCAGAAGTCATACAGGTGTTGGAGAAGATCTTTTCGAAGACTGACCAAGAGTTGGCATTTGAGTTTTTCAGATCGGTGATGCTTGAGGATGGCTACGATTCCCTTATCTGGGGCGTGTTCCGCTCAGCCAAGGAGGAGCCAGGTCTTCTCAAGAAGATCGTGAAATCGATGGAGTCCGCCACGGCGATTCTTCACCGGAGGGATACCAATAAGATGCCCAGTATACAATACGTCGACGACGAAATCAGAGGCATGTTGTTGTATTACCAAGGTGTAGGAGCTTACAACTTTGGGGTCTCGACTGATGGCACAGATCCGACAGAAGAGGCCATACGGCTTTGGACGGAAAGCAGAGACTTTCTCAAGAGATGCGGCGGACCAAGCGCGCTCAGGGCACGTTCCAAAGCTACATCGGCACTCTCGAATCACTATTTTGAGAAGTTGATGGACGAGGGGTTGCAACATGACCACATGAAGGTATTAACCAAAATGGCGAAAGATGACTCTGAGTTTACAAACATCGATATGGAATCTATTGGACTTTTGGGGGCTCTCTACGCGCGGAACAGCGACAAGGAAAGAGCCCGAGAGGTTCTTCGACATCGAGTCAAGGAAGCTTTGCAAATTCTTTCGGACGACATTCCCGAGAACGACTACGTGGGTTTCGATATTCTCTTCCAGAATTTCTTACATTGCCAGGATGTGGAAGACGCTTCCATCGCCTTATCTCTCCTTATTCCACCGGACACCGTCACTGTTGCCCTGCAATTTAGCCCTGAGGACTTGGAAGAGGTCAGGCCAGAGAACAGGCAGCGGGTGTTGAAGGTAGTTACCACTTTGGCGCAGGACATCATCGAGGCTACAAGGGCTCAGGTTCCGGATCTCTTCAAACAGTACCAACGCCTCGATGCTGCTCAAGCTTACTTCGAGGATCTTGTTGCTACAGCTGAGAGCAAGAATAACGACAAGGACCACGGCAATGTCGAGACAGAGAACGCAGCCGATGGCAAAACTAAACCTACGCCCAACGGAGATGTGGCCACTCTCCACGCGCATTCTTTGCTTCGAAGCAGGCTGTTTGACCCTGAGATTGAGATCTACATGACGAACGTACAATGGGGCGCTAGTTGCGATGGTAGCGGTCTCGATGGAAAGAAATGCACCAATTTGGTGAACCGAGACCAGGATTTCTTTCACTGCACGCACTGTTCCAATCAGGTCTTTTGCGGAGAGTGTCTCGCTCGATTGCGCGATCCTGACTCTGATTCAGTGGTCGTCTGCAGCCCAAAACATCAGTGGTTACGTATTCCCCCCCAAGGAGACAGCTTCTATTTTGGGGATTTGGCCAAGAGAGTCCGAAAGCCTTCGGTGAAGGTCATGGAAGGTGACGACAAGGTGTTCATAATAACTCCTGCTGGTTATGAGGAGTGGATCTCAGTACAGGCTTGGCAAGAAGGGTTAGTGAAGGAATGGAAGATATCACAGGAGGAGTTGAAAGGCGATGGAGGACTGCGACCCCCGCTTCCACCCCCGCTGGAGGGGGATGATTAGATGTTGGAGTAATGTGAACGTGAGGACGTTTTGTAAATTGCGATTTCCGATAAAAGTTATACGTCCCGTCGATGCATGCCGCCTAGTGTTGAATTCATGACGTAGTGTCTGATCGAATGACTTGTCGCTCAAGTGGAGGGGGTTATCTCCCTACCGGCGAAGCATCTGGCAACTGCACTGCAACTTCCAAAAAAAAATTGATATTTCACGTAACTTTCGATTATAAATCAATACCTGGTATTGTACATGCTAACCACGTCAACTTCAGTAGAAAATCATCGTACAAAATGTTTGCGTGCCGTTTTACCGCTAGCCGCGCTTTCGTACTAGCTACTGTACATCCCACATTCTCTGCCTTCCGAGTTTCGTGAATCATATCTCGCTTTCCTCTGATGACTTATATAGCTCAGAGTTTGGGTTTCGCCGTGGGCGTGACCGTGGTTGATGCGTAGACTGTCGTGACCAAGGTAGTACCTGTTTCCTGGACGTCCACGATGCAGTCGCCCTTGGAGCCTTGCTGGATCTTGGCGCAATCCTCGTCGGTGAGCTTGGAGGTAAGCTTGATGCACAGATCGTCAAAAAGGTCTGCATTTTCCCCACCCCTTTCTGCACAAAGGGGTATGATGCCATGGACGTTTTCGCCGTTCGCGTCCGCGCAGCGACATCTAAATAACTCTTGAGAGAGGGCGGTGCTACAAGGGTTGAGTCAGTATTATTCTGGTGAGAACATTTCAGAACGTACCTGAAGAAAGCGGCAGCTAGTGTGAGTGCGGAGGCCTTCATTTTGCTTGATTACACTCAGGAGTGATGTCGATTGTTGGATGTTTTTGGGATCTCTATTTCGGAGAACAGCTTCAAGAACGTAAGAAGTAGTCAAACGATGTGGTAAAGAGGCTGGCTGATGAAAAGGACCTTGCATGACCAGCGGCATGGGCTATTTATCATTGATGACATGGAGTAGTCCGGTGGGCATTCATCTCCGGAGAACGGGAATAGTGGATACAGCCCTACCAGCTATCTGACGGCCTTGAACGGCGTGCCGACGTCGCAATCAATGGCGCAGCAAATTTACAATAATATCCGCGTTACTGACTCAGTAAGGGCCATCAAGAACGCTTCTAGAAGACGGCCTCCCAATGTGAAACAGGACATGCCCTGCTGATGCGAAACCTGCTCCCCGAGTTTAGCCAGCTTGGAAGGCCTCGTGCTAAATAAAGCAGCCTTGATCCCAGTTCGCATTGTTGACAACTGCGGATGAACTATCTATCACATTCCAGCCGTTTGCTCGGCTCATCTTGGCGAGCGGTGCCTTTCTTCAACCCTACGATACTCGTCAGACTTGCGCCTAATTATGCGGTGCGCAGCCCGGATTGTGGGGTTCAACAAAGTGGCTCCTCGAACTCTATTTTCATGTCTTTTGCCAAAGGCAGCACAAACTTCAGAACATCGCAATGAGCGTCAAACAGTGGAGCGACCTCAAATAAAGTACTTTGAACTCTAATGCCCACATTTCTTGCTCTTGTTGACGCTGGATTCAAATAGCAGACTTCGGGAAGCCAGTCTTCCCGCTTTGCCGTCATCGTCTGCCGCGTCACAAATGGCTCCATCCATTCTCCAATAAGCTCAACGCAGCGAGCAAACCCGAACCATCTCATCCGAACTCTTCATATTTTGTGTTGGTCTGACAAGAGTCTGCCTGTCCGATGTGCTGATCATTGTGGGCCCGGCGAATCCGAAAGTGTGGTCTGGCTCAGTTGGCATCTGTGACACGCCCAGGGGCAGCCAATGGAATAGTGAGCTCTAAGCTAATTGTATCAATAGGCCTTACGGGCGGAACGATGTGAACGTGGCACGACACTATGTTCAAAATATCGAAAACGGGTTATTAGCACTAGCATTGTATTCTAGTCGCTCCGACGTCCATCGACAGCCCATCTCTGCTATTACGATCCGAGTCATCGCTCACCATGCAACTCTTGCAATAGGACCTTGCGGGAATAGTCTCACAAGAAGCTTTCGGATCTCATCCATGAACAAAATGCCCAATGCTAAAGGCACGGGAATGAGCCAAAACTCAATTGGAACGGATGCTGTACCGAAAAGCTTCTGAATCCCAGGAACTTCAGTGACGAAAATTGCAATGGCAAGACTGACGAGCGCGCTGGCAATAAGCCAAGGGTTTCGTCTTTCCTTGGTGATTGGATCTGCCTGAACGATACTGAGTCTCCGGTTGCGAACCGCGAGGATATTGCCCCACTGGAGGAACAACAATGTGACAAAGTAGACGCACTGGCCGGTTGCATTGAAGTTGGTGAGCTCATCGAGCGTGTACCCACGGTAGCCTTCAGCATAGCCTTCAAACAAGAAGAAAAGCTCATGAATCGGGAAGCCGGCGTACTTCCACATGTAGAAGAAGAACATTGAATGCGCGCAGATTGTCTCCATGAATCCCGTGAAGAGATATGCTTGAGCGTAGATGTTGAGATTGATGAGGTGATCGCGCTTGGCATTGCGAGGGGGTAGAGAAAGCAAATCAAACTCTTGCTTCTCCATGATGAGCGACAGAGAGAGGAACAAATCGGTGAAGACACAGATGACGATCATGAGAAAGACGCTCAACGGGAGAGGAACTCCAAAGAAGACGTTGACGAGGACCGGCCAGATCTCAGACCAGCTGCCAGCAGGGAGAAGATATGCAATGACCTTCTGCAGATTTTGGAAGACGAGACGTCCGAGACGAATAGCTTCGACTATGGAGTCAAATTGGTCCATGAGAACAAGATCCGCTGCCTCAATCGCAACATCACTGCCTGTAACGATAGCTACGCCGACGTCAGCAGCCCGAAGTGCTGGAGCATCATTGACACCGTCACCAGTCACCGCGACCACATTCTCACGGTCGCGAAACTCATTGACGATGCGCAGCTTCTGCTCAGGAGTCGTGCGTGAGAAAACAATCTCGTCGTACTCGCAGACAATGTCCCAGTCCTGTGCCATCAGCCGAGCGACGGAAGCTCCCTCGAGAAGGAGACTGTGGCCGTTTCCAGCAAGGCGCTCACGTCGTAGCTCTTCAGCTGTGGGTGTCATGCCCCTCCTGATGGTGTCGAAGGTGTCGGGCTCCAATGTGGTGAAAATGCCAATGTTGTGAGCTATGGCGGCGGCGGTAACGCCGTAGTCACCAGTGACCATGAAGAATCTCGCCCCAGCACGCCGGCAGTTGGCGACGGTGGAGGCGGCCTCCGGCCGGGGAGGGTCGATGATACCCAGGATGCCCACAACAGTGAGGTTCTCCAAAGCTTTCATCGCAACTTCGTCGCTGAAGGCATTGGTTCCAGGAGAATGAAAAGCCTCCAAGACTTTCTCGCAGATGACCACGACTCTCTCAGCGTTGCGAGAAAGCTTATCCTGAATTTCTTTGAATGACGTCTTGGCATTTGCGTCAAGGGCCTGGGTTGATTGTGTTCTCCCCGACCAAAAGCTGGAACAGGCGGGCAACAAAACATCAGGTGCCCCCTTGACAAACATGCGGAAATGGTTGCCCTTCTCCGCGGCACCTTCGTGGACCAGTGTAAGCATCCACTTGTTCTTGGAGTTGAATGGAATGGAGAACACTCGTGGGAAATTCGACACGATCGCGTCCCCGTCTCGGGCCGAGGCAGCAAACTTGAGAACAGCCACGTCCGTGGCGTTTCCCTCGGCCATTCTCTCCCGAGGGGGTACATGCATCGAATCTGCTCCGAAGGATGCGTCATTGCATAGGAGGGAAGCTTTCTGGAGCATAGAAAAGATCGCATCGGGCTTTTCCGTGTTGAGAGCTTGGTGCACAACGTCAGGTGAACTGAGGAGCTGGTCCACGAACGCGACAGAGCTGACAGTCATCTGGTTCTGTGTCAACGTCCCAGTCTTATCAGAGCATATGACATTGACGCAGCCCAAAGTTTCAACAGTAGAGAGACCCTTGGGGAGGATGTTGACCGCCTTCATCCTTCGGGCGACCATCATGAGTGTCAATGCGACAGCCACCGGCATGCCCTCGGGGATGAAAGCAACGACGCATCCCATGACGTTGTTCAACATCTGAACCACATTCATGTAAGAAGGGTGATCACGCTTCAGCCAAGCGATCCAAGCCACAAAGATCAAGAGCGCCAGAAAGACTGTGAGAACGACGATGATTCGAACGAATCTCCAGATCTCCTTTTGAATCAGGGTGACCTTCTCTCCGACGTCTGTTGTAGCTCGAGCAACTCTTCCCATGACCGATTGAGCACCAGTCAAGATCACAACACCGATGCCGTGGCCATTCACGACGGTTGTGCCCATCAACGCAATATTACGACTCTCGAGGAAGTTCGGGTCGGTCGAGTCGATGGCGCCTTCGACCTCGTCGGATTCGCCGGTGAGGACGCCTCGGTCGAAACGGATGTCGCCTGAGTGGGAAAGAAGTCGAAGATCAGCTGGGACCTTGCTGCCGGTACGCAGATGGACGATGTCGCCCTCGACAAGCTCGGATGCGGTCATACGCTTGACGGAACCATAGCGCATGACAAGTGTCTCGGCGGGAAGAAGGTTGGTGATGGATTTCATGGTCTTCTGAGTGGACCAGTCTTGAAAGGCGGAGAAGCCAGCCTGGAGAAAGATGACGATAAGGATCAAGACAGCCATGGCAAGATTCTGGGCGGAGGGAGGATCGCTCAGGGGTTTCCAGCAGATGAAGAAGATGATAGCTCCGATCCAAAGGACAGAGCAAAAGCCACCAAAGACGTAGACGAAGAGTTTCTTGAGGTAGTTTGTCTTCGGCTCTGGGAGGGTGTTGGGTCCGTTCTTCTGAAGACGAGTAGACGCCTCGTCTTCAGAAAGCCCCTGGTCTGACGAAACGCCGAGTTGCTGGCAGACCTGAGCACTAGGAAGGGTATGGAAGTTGAGCTCGGCAAAGTATTCGTCGTCGCCTTCCTTGGCCGCCTTGAGGTCAGGCTCTGTGTTCGCCGCAGCATGCTGGGACTCCGAGACGTGAATTGAAAGAGTTCGATAGCCGATTTGAATGCCAAAGTTTTCCGAGGTGCTCTGTCGGCGCCTGGACATGGAGCTAGCAGCTGAGTGTGCTGATCGCGGACGGCTGGCACTCTTGTTGTTGGCCGGCCGTCCCCGAATTTGATGTCCTGTCTCCTCATCACCGCGAAAGGAGATATGAGAGTTATTACTCCCATCGATACGAGTGTCTTCTGTCATTTTCCTGGGGTTGTCCATGGCAATGATGAGAAATAGGCAGTACAACAGCTCGACGTCAAGTGACGAGAACGGCAATGCACGCAGAGGCAAAATAAGGGATGCAAAGAAGATGCAATGCAACAATGTCTGTTTCACCGACAATCCAAAATTTCAATTCAAATTTTTATATGCTGAAGCTCTTGCAATTTCGTCTTGTGCAGGCGGCCTGTTCCAGAACGTCACTTACACGAGCCCTGAAGCGACGGGGGAGAATGCCAAGAGAAAATGCCTCATACAAAAAGGGGGACGCGCCCTTTCTCCCTTCGGGACGCGAAGGACATCCATTACGTTAAAATTACCTACAAACTCCAATTTCCCCATGGGAAACGGGCGCAGAGTCCCCCAGACAATAGCAGCGCCGTACCAATCGCTTGCCAAGAAATTTGACGCCTGGTCATTAACACCAGATATGGCAAACCGAGCATCATGATCGTTAATCCCTCAGCCGAGACATCACATGGAAAACAAGTCGGTGAACGCGTCCGGAAATACGTATCCATGGGCACTTTGGTACT